AAGCAGACAGATCCTATTGAGAGGGAGAATGACATTCACACCCCAGGAGAAGCTGAGTGAGTCCAAAGACAGTGGGCTGACAAGAGTTCTTAGAAAGCCCATCCCTTTGCAGGGCCATTGTGGCGCACACCTTTGATCCCAGCACTCGGGAGGCAGAGGCATGCTCATCTCTATGAGTTTGAGGCCTGTTCTACAGAGAAACCTGTCTCAACCCCCTCCCCCAAAAAGCAAGAAAGCCCTTCTCTGGGCCTCGCACCCTCCCCTTTGCCCACCTTATCATGTTCCTGTGTTTCTACCTTGCGTAGCTTTAGTTTGCTCATAGCCCTGTCTTCCCGGAAATGGGAGCCCTGGAGACAGTAGAAGTGTTATTTTGAGTTGTTTATTCCTATTGCCTAGAACAGGTGTTTAATAAATACTTGACAGAGAAATAATGGCTTCCAGGAAGAAGGGAAGAGTGGGGGTGGGGGAGACAGCAAATTAAAACAAACTAGAGCTGTGTAATTCAAACCCAGGTGAGCGGTGTGGGGAGGGGCTTAGAGGACTTGAACTTCTATGGGCAGAGATGATCAGGGGAGACTTAGTATTCTTTTTGTATTCTAGAAGTTACCCTGCCACCTCATCAGATGATTTAAAGGGGTGAGTTTGAAATTGGGGGAAAAGTGAGAGCTGAGGTGGGATGCTAGCAATGACGTGGCCAGATCTAGAAAAGTCTTAAAACAGCTGGTGACCAGGTAGATAAGGGGAGAGGTTGTGACTTGATTTACAGCTTGAATAAGGAGTATAGAAACAGTAGATTTTAGAGGAAAAGGATGTTGTGTTTGTTATCTATCACTATGGGACAAATTAGTGGTGATCAAGAATATATGGGTAGGGACTGGAGAGTTGGCTTAGCAGTTAGGACCATTTGTTGCTCTTGCAGAGGACCCAGGTTCGATTCCTAGCACCTACACCATGGCTCACAACTCTCAGACCCCAGAAGGCACCAGATACACACATGGTGCACAAACATACAAGCAAGCAAAATACTCACATACAGAAAATAATTAAATAAATAAATCTAAAACCCCAACATGATAAACTTGAAAAAATCTGGGTGTATAATTCTAGCACTCAGGATGCTGAGACGGGGATCACTATGAATTAGAGACTAGTCTGGTCTACATAGTGAGTTCTAGGTCAGCCAGGGTTACATAGTGAGACCTCATTGAGAGAGAGAGAGAGAGAGAGAGAGGGGAGAGAGAGAAGGCTGGCCAGGGCTTCAGGCTCTCAAGCCTTACTGAGGGAAGGTCCTCCTCCCAGTTCACTCAGAATGTTGACAGGCCTCACAGGTCCTGCCTGGTGGGTGGCTGGAGAAATCATGTCATTTCCATCCTTCTCACATGCCTGGTGGCTTCTTTCAGAATGGGAGAAACCACCCCAAGACATACACCACTGTTTTTTTTTTTTTTTTTAACTTAATTTTGGAAGTGACACACCATCATTTCTGCCTTTCTATCAGATACAAGTCACTGAATGTAGCCCACACTCAAGTGGGTAGAGGTCACTAGGAGTTGCACAAACTCTTGAATACTGGTAGATGGTCTCACTGGGACCGCATTAGAGATATATGTAGAATTTGAGGAGTCCTGGACCTCCTTGTTGAGAAAACTTGACTCAGATAGTCACATCGCTCACTCAGTGGAGAGCTCTGTCTCTGGAATGTAGCTTGAAACCTTTGTGTGAGTCTACAGTCAGTTGCTTAGGACCCTCTTCAACTCAATTCAAAGCTTCTAGAGGCCTGTAGTGAAGAGCAGACGTTTTTAAAGTGGGAGGCACTCCCCACATTGTTGGTTGAGGCTCCATTACACGGAGAATCACATGACTAAAAAGCCACCTCTCCATTTGACAACCCTTGCTGTGCCACTATGGTTGGACAGATGTAGAAAGAGGTCCTTCCCTTCCCAAGCTGCAGGTTTCTGGGTCTCATAAAAGGAGGAACTAGATGAGATTAGTGATTTTTCAAAAAAAGAAAAAAACCATAAATGTCTCTTCCTTGGAGTATAACATATTAAAAATAGATCAAAGTCAACCCAATCTGGCTCCTTCCAAAAGAACAGCATCTTGAGAAGTTGTAGACCACGAAACTTCCAGACTTTATTTATTTGTTTGCCAGTTAAGATATCCTGGGATTTTAATGGCATGATCCAATTCCAAGTTGAATCTGAGATTAATGGGTACTGACTATTTCATCATCAAAGTTTTTGAGAGGAAAATAATTCAGATGTCCTTGAACTTAAAAAATGTAATATCCTTTGATCTCTTTAAACACACAATGTGTGTCAAGTACTTTGCAGGATGTATTCCATTGTGTGCCCTACTTGATGGTGCATGGGTGTAGGAGATTCAGTAACTATGGCACTGATGAATGAATGAAAGTTCTTTTTCCCATTTTACAGATGAGGACAGTTGGGCCTTGAGCCACCAAGGAGCTTCATGTAGTTGAAGGCTCCACAGCACACCAATGCCATCTCTTGTTGATGGACTTAGTTGGGAAGTGGGAAGAGAGCTAGTAGCATAGATCTCCTTATATAGGGTGAGCACAGTCCTAGGTACCATTTTTCATACCTATTATTGGTGGCCCTGCAGGGCTTCTATGTTGTGTCCATTTTTCAATGAGGTCAGAGAAGTTAAACACCTTCCCCAAAGCCTGTTAAAGAACTAGTGAGAGAGACTGAGCTGAGACCAGTGCCCAGGGCTTTCTAACTCCAAAGCATTCCCATGTAAGATTCAATCCCTTCAAAACCATGTACCCAAGTTCAGATTCTGGAATAGGTGGCACTGATGGGTGCCAACCAATTCATTGGGAGAGGTTCCACTGCCCTTTTCTCTCAGTTCTCAACATCCCTTCACATTCACTAGTTTACTGGGCCTGGAACAGAAAAGAGTCTAACCATGAAAAAGTGAAAATCCATGCTTGTGAGATGCAGCAGGAAGCCAGAGCAGACAATTAGATGCCCAGTGCTGGCACAGTGGCCAGCCATTGTCCTCGGCCTCATCTGCAGCACATGGCTCAGGCTGTGTCCAAAGTTACACTGCTGGTGTCACACAGTCTCCTAAAGGCCTCATCACTCATATCCACTTGTCATTTATTATTAAGCAGGTCTTTAATATTTGCAGAATTTTCTACTGATTTTCATTCCTTCCTTTTCATGACCATGGAAAGAAAAATAGTACAAGGGTGATTTTTCCCAGCTCCTTATCCAAGAAATTGCCCTTCACTGAGACGTAAGTTCATCTTGAATCATCCCCAAAAATGGTGATTGCCCTTCACTGAGACGTAAGTTCATCTTGAATCATCCCCAAAAATGGCCATCCAGACTTTGATTTCATTAATATAGATGAAGCTACAGTTTGATAATTATCATTTAACTAATGCATATTCTATATGGATGAGTGATGGATTCTCCTCATCTCTCCCTCTGGAGTCCATAGAGGAAGGGGAGTGTATACCACATCTTTTCTTTTTTGCCCTCTTTTGCATTTTTTATTTATTTGTTTGAGGCTCTGGGATGTGTCAATTTTGTTAGAAATGCTCTAATGTTATCACTTCTCTAGAAATAATGGGAACCCTACACCCTGAGATTCTGAGGTCCATGTAGTTGAGTCTGAACCTCATTAGGAAAGATCTCAAGGATGCAAAGTTGTCCGGGTGAAGGACTGTGTGAGGAAGAGAGCAGTTGGCCTGATGGAAGGACTTGTAAGGAATTCAAAGAGGTCAGGGTGGCTAGAGGATGAAGCCTCACCTGCAGCCAACCAGTGATGAATTCAAGCACAGGTGTTCAACAATTGGTGAGCACAGGGCTAGCCTGAGTGGTGATCTGTGGAGTGGCTGCACAGGGGCCACATTCAGGTAGCTGTCTAGTCTGGTCTCATGCTCTGTTGTCACCATCCGGAGACTGTTAATGCATTTTGAGCAAACACACACACACACACACACACACACACTCATCTTATACTGGACGAGCGTGTGATCAGTCCTCTTCAGGTGTAAAGGCTAACACCCACTCACTAGGTGGGCAGTACTGAGAATACCCACAATCCTTCATGAGGCTCAAATTCTGCTTCCTTCCAAGAGTGTCTTCTTCATAGGCTCTAATGGAATTGTACATCTTTGGTGTGTTGTATAGTTACTAATGCTGTGTGTGTGTGTGTGTGTGTGTGTGTGTGTGTGTGTGTGTGTGCGCGCGCGCGCGCGCGTGCACGCGCGTGCGCACGCATGCAGCATGCACAACTGTAGGGATCCTAGGATCAGGATGCTGATTGGCATCCCAATGTCATATTTTCCAAAATAAGCCTCTCCTCCCCCTCCCTCTTTCCTCATCTCTTTCTTCGAGCGCATGCATGCACATGCGGAGGCACACGGGCACACACATACACACAAGAGGTTGTATCAGACTCATCTGGGGAAGGTAATTGCTGTTTCCCAAACACACTTGGTCACATGCTGCTCTGAGTGACCCTAACAGCAGGTGTGGCCTGGAGGATGAGCTGTTTCGGAAACTTAAAAGATACTCATGTATATACTCCAGGTTAAGAAAGGTGGCCTTAGGTTTCCAGAGATATAGCCAAGAAACAACTTAACAGAGGAGAGTTGAACAAAAGGCCAGGAGACAAACTGATGGACTATGGACTGCTAGTAATCCTTAACATAATAAAAAGTCTGTTAAAGAGGAAAGAGGGCATCGTTTTATGGCACTTGGGAGGACACAGATAGTACTGAAATGCACTATGGGAACACATCCCATTACCAAGGTCTCCATAAAAAATTCTGCTATCTGTTTGGTCCGACAAGTACACACAGAGGAGCAAGGGCTGTGGAGGCAGGAGATCAGGGTCAAGGTCAAGGTTGGAGACCGAGTTTGAAATTTATTTTCCCCTTAATGACCCTAATACCATACCCAATTCCTGAGAAGAAATTGTGGCCAGAGGGAGTAATTCTGAATTATGTTTGTTCTGCCCAGATTCTAGGCTTTGACATTCTTCTGATGAAAAACCTGAAGCCTATGCTACTAGAAGTGAATGCAAACCCCAGCATGAGAATTGAGCATGAATACGAAGTAAGTGATTGCAGCATTCCCTGAACCATCTGTCCCTACCTGTGAGGTGTCCCTTTGACAGCCCAAGATTTGCCATCCTCAAAATTTCACAGCAAAATTCTGTTCAAAGAGTCAAATAATTTTAGTTCTGTCGAGCTCCAAAGAGAGTCTATTAATATAAGACCTCTCCGACCCACTGTGGTTTCCCAGCATGCCGTTCTTCTCATTTTTAAGGTGGGAAACTTAGAAGCAGCTGAGCCTTCCCATCCATTTTGACATGAACTAATTAGTTAGCCTCAGGAGATGAACTAATTGAAATTCTATGAATATGAGTTAGCCATGTCGACATGCTTGAACCACTAAGATAAACAGTACATTTAACAGTGCTTGTGCTCCACCCACCCCCCCAAATGGATTTAAGGAGCCAGAGGAAATACCCCTAAAATTACTACTGGGTTTTTGGGGGATTATCTGGATTCTTTTAATTTTCTTAAGCCCTTTCCACATTCCCAGCTGGTACATAGTGAGCATGTATAATTTTGATAATCCAAGAAGCATAGTGCTATGACCAGGAATGGTAGTACATACCTGTAACCCCAAGAGTCCAGAGTGGGGATGCAGAGGGATCACAAGTTCAAGACAATCCTCAGCTACTTATCAAGTTGGTGGCCAGCCTGGACTAACAAAACAAAATCATATCGATAGCAACAAAACCATAGTGCTGTTATTTTTTGTGGGTTTTGTGGATTTATAAAAGGTTATTTGCATACTTAAGCTAAGATGAAGGAGGTTAAAACTCCCTTCTATGGATTTGCAGAGACCAAATACACAATTGCACAACCATTGAGCTAGGTGGAGGCACCAGGGTAAGCTTCAGAAGTGGGTCACAGTTTAGCTGACTCTGAAATCCTTACCTTCCAAGCTCTCTCCAGGGGTGTTTGAAAATATCCCAAGCCTGGTGGATGAAGAGGTGAAGGTGGCTGTGATCAGAGACACACTGCGCCTCATGGACCCTCTGAAGAAGAAAAAGGAGATGCAGTAAGTCCTTATTATGCCACTCATTTCTGCCGATTCTTTCATTTCTCAGCCGCTTTGGGTCCTAAGCAGGTGAAGTAACTTCTTGAAATCTATATGAATAAATCACTTTTTATTTCATAAATAGTCCCAAGCAACCAGCAACTCAAAATCAGGAGTGGTTGGGAATATAGCTCATGTGCCTAGCATGTGTGAGACCCTAAGTCCAATTCCCAGCACTACCAACCAACCAACCAACCAATACACAAACAGGATTAGGAACCACACCACAGTTGGAGTTCAGTGATGAATCTTCCATGGCTATCCAAATCTGGAGGTGCCCACCAACCTCCCACTTCCTTCAGTGACAGGATCTGCACTTCCCATGACTGTTTGAGATCTTTATGCACAGAAGAGCACTCCAGCATGCTGGAGAGGACACAGCAGCTGGACATGGGGAGAGCCGCCTCTGTCTTCCCTCACAGTGCTCCACACTCTTGTGATGGAAGCTTTTGAGTTCCATGTTTCCAGGACAGATACCATGGGCTTCCGACACCTCTAGCACATGTCCAAATTAAATTTCTGCCCCTCCTACACTCTTGGCCACCCATGGGGTTACCAAGAGGGAGGATATATGTCCCTGCCTCACCCTTCATGCAATCATGCTAGATATGAAGAACATCTTACTTGGCCAACTTGTTCTATTTAGTCCCTCACTAATAAGCAGTTCAGGCTCCCACAAAGTACATGTTGACTTATTATAGTTGTGTCTAGGTTTTAGGCAGAAACCCTAAAGCAACTGTTTCAAGTAGTTCTCATACCTGTGATGCATCAGACTGACTCAAAAGTTCCCAGACATGTCAACTCTTGCCAGCCATGGCTGGTGACAAGGAGGGAGCTTATTTCCCCAGCCAGTGACATTTGTTATGTCCCTCTGCTGAGACTCCTCATCAGGTGGGCTTAAGCCCAGCTCTTGCTTGAGTCACTGCACGGCAATACTTGAGTGCACTGAGAACCACCAGGGCAGCCTTGAGAATGCCAGAACAAGGGCCCCTACCTTCAGCAGTGCCCAATTTTGTGACTATGGCTTGGAGATTTGTCCACAAACATCTGTAGGTTCCCTAGATGCTATGTCTCAGCAGCTGTGGTTGAGCAACTTCACCATGCTGGCAGTATCCCATGAACATTGACCTGTGGTTTGCATTGGCCAGTTCTGCAGGTGTGGCTGCCAGAGACCCCGCTTCAGAGTTGATGTCCGTGGGCCACTTAGTCTTCTGAGAACCTCAGGCCAGACAGACAGCAGGCAAATGAGATGGCCACTGGATGAACACATGTAGCTCCTCTCACTATTTAGCCCTCAGGGGAAAAAAAAAAAAAAAAAAAAAAACCCTGGTTAGAGTTGCAATTTAGTCAGATTAATTGCAATGAGACACACTCCTTAAAAATCTGTTCTGTAATGGTTATTGATCTCAACAGTCAAGATGAGATCCCAAGAGACTTTGGGCTCTGTGCAGGCAGAAGCGGGTGGCTTTCTGTAGCATAGGGGTGCAGATTAGTTTAGGATGACCTTGACATCTTAGTTTAGGATTAAACAGATTAGTTTAGGATGACCCAGTGACTTCTTCACTGGGAACAAGAAGTTTAAAATCCATTGTGTGGCCTGAGCATACTTTTAAAATTTAAGTTAATTTTTTCTCTTGAAAATTTCGTAGGTGAGTACTATTTTACATCATTTTCATCCCTTGCTTACCCTCTCTAACTCCCATATGTCCTTCCTATTATTCCATCTCAATATTCATGACCTCCTCTTCGGTAATTATTATACATATAAAACCTACCAAGTTTATTAGTGTTGCTGTTATGTATGCGTGTTTAGGGCTGGTGTTGGGTAGCCTATCAGAGGGCTCTTCTCTGGCCATGCTGCCCTGAACACGCCCTGTCTCCTCTGAGCTCAGTGTCAGGGCTGGTTAGTGCTCAGGAGGCCTGAGCAGTCTTTAAACTCTGCTACCTAACATAGAGGACTCGCACCTCTGCTCTTCACACTAAAACAGCACAGAGACAGCTTTCTTTTTTTCCCTGTCCTTGTTTGGAGTTACTTATAAAATCCATATGAGCTTAAGATCTGAAATTTAATTGCAGTGGGGCCTGGGACCATTGACTGGGAAGGATGAAAGAAGCATTTTATAACTTATCAAGTCATAAGTAGCCACATCTCATTTTTAATTTAAAAAGCATCGACTTGTATCGATATCTAGAAACAGAATTTCAGGACTCCAGCTTCCATTCTAATCTAGAAGCCTTTTCATCTCCCTCTTTCTTACCAGCAGCAGAAGGTGTGGGAATAGTTGATGCCATTTACTGATTTTTTTCCCTTAATTTCACTTCATTTTATTTTATTTTTAGCCAGCAATGATGATCTATGAGAGAACACTGCAGTCTGCAAAGTGCATGGTATATAAGCAGTCATTGTGGTGGTAACTTTAACTTTACCAGGCTCCAGGTTGAATTTATTCTCGGTTGCTATGTCTCAAGATAACTGGACAAAGCACAGGGAGGAGACCAGAGAAAATATGCAGGGCTAATGGGCCAAAAGCTGTGGATGTGGCTCTGAGACCACACCGCTTCCAGTCCAACTGTACTGAGTGACGTCGTAGTAGAATTCTGGGCCAGAACTTGCCTGTAGAAGCAGAGTTTTCAGTTTGTTTTTGCTGTTGTATGTTGTTTGAGTTGGGTCTCACTATGAAGCCGAGGCAGTCCTTGAACTCACAATCCTCTTGTCTCTGCCTCCCTAGAGACAGAGGGATTACTAGTTTGTGTGTTTCCATGCCTGGTTCTAGAGCGTGTGGTTGGTCCTTGTTAGTTCCTGTGAGGGGTGTTTGTCATCCAGACACTTGCAGTGGGGTTCCTTTGACCCACACAATTGTAATTAAAAAGCAGATGTCCCAAGCTCCCCAGCCCCAAGACTTCTCTGAAAAGTGTAGAAGAATGACTAGAAAGGCTCTAACAAGTGCCTGTGTGCCCTGCACCTTCATGTGCCCTGCACCTCTGTGCGCCCTGCTCCTCTGTAACCCCTGGGTCCCCTAACCCAGAGGACCTGTCTAGGTGAGGCTGACAGCAGTCACAGGTATTCTGTGGCAGAGGAGGCTGACCCTGCTGACCTCCTTCCAAACATAACCAACAGCACTTTCTTTGACTTATGTCTGTAATCCCAGCACTCAGAGGCTGATGGGATTGCCATAAATTCGAGGAAAGCCTGTGCTACCTAGTGAATTCTTGGTCAGGCCTGGGCTACAGAATGAGATACTATCTCCAAAAGAACCAAACAAAGTGCTTTTTTTTTTTTTTGAGGCTACCAAATGATCTTCAAATCTTTCCTCTGTGGAAGGTGCTAGCAAGTGTTTCAGAGAATCGCACAGCTGTTTTGAGTCTATAAGAAGAGCCTTTTCTACATAATAGATGATAACATGTAAATAAAACAAAGGTGGCCACATTCAAATGAAACAATTTAGTGAGCAAGTTTTGGTTTGGTTTGGTATTGGTTTTTGAGGCAGAGTCTCCCTGTGTGGTCTAGCCTGGAACTTGCACACCTTGGCTCGGCTTCCTGGGTGCTGAAGTTGTTGGTGACTGCCATCACAGTGTTGACAGCAGGCTTGCTCTCGTGATCACTTTACTCATCAGTGAGGAAGTTACCTACTGGACATGAAGCAAACAAAAAGCAATGATTAGTTGCTACTTTCCTTTCTTGCAAAATTGTTAGTTTAAAAACCCATGGTGTATCATAAATCTGAGGCAGTAACATTGGAGAGAGCTGCAGTGGGGGTGAGATGCTTCAGGCAGCAGGGTGTCACTGGGACATGCGTGTTTGGGAGGCTAGGAGAAATTACCTTTCCAGTAAAGAAGACAGCTGCCACAAGAGAACAAATTGACTGGAAAACTTTAATATCTAGTGACTATTGATTTCCATACTGGAGTTCAGTGAAGGAGCTCTAGGAAGATGGAGATGGGGAGGAAGTAAAATTAGCATACTATAAATTTTAGGAGTGTACACCTGGGAGGACTGGGATTTAGCTCAATGATAGAACAGTTACCTAGCATATGAGAGGCCTTAGATTTGATCCGTAGCACCCCTCCCTAAAAGCATACAATTCAGTGATATTTAGTGGTGATAGTCACTAAGTATCCCAGTGTTGTAGGAATATCAGTTCATCTAGCTTCAAAAAGGTTTGGCACTCCTCGAGAAACCCATCGCTGTGCATACTCCCTACATCTCTAGACCTCCACCGCCACTACCCCTGGAAGCTGCCTGTGTGCCATGGATTTCCTGTCCTTGGCCATGTTTTTTATTTTGTTTTTTAGCAGAATTGCACAATATGCAGTCTTTTGTGATTGGCTTCTTTCATGTAGACAATGTCGCTGAGGTTGAGCTATGCTCTAGCATGTGTTAGACCTTTATGAGTGAGTGCCCTTCTATTATAATGTAGATTAGATACACTGCAGTTTATTAGTATCTGTTTGTCAGTTGACGGACAGTTGGGCAAAATCTCCCCCAATGTGTACTTCAAGGATTAAGTTCTGATTTGGATCTTCTATATTAGATTTCACTCACAGGGAAAGGGTTTTTACTGCCTCGAGAAGCCATTAGAACCTTTGGTGTAGTTTGACCCCTCATGTAGAGGCATGAAGGTGGCCACTCCAGTCAGCAGCCTTATTCCAGAACCCCTCACAGGTGTCTGAAGGACAGTGACTTGGCAGGCAGTGAATTTGACCTCGGCCAAGGCTAGTGAGATCCTTAATCTTTCGTGCTCTGAGCTCAGCCAAGTGGCTCCCTTCCCTGAGCAATCTGACAGCATTTTGACAAATGCTGGTTCCCAGGTCACCAAGGGTCAATCAGGCTACACTTTCAAACTGTGCTGATGGTGACAGCTAGCTCCTAAGTTTCTGGGGCAGTTGGTTCAAGTGATGGATAAAGTCATTCTGCACCTGCACCTCCCCCACACACTCCCCCCACCTGGAAACTAAGCTAG